CTCATATGCCAAACCAAGAGTGCAGGATCGTGTCTTGCATTTTAATTGGGTGCCCTTGAAGTTAGATAAAGAATTTAAATATTTCTCACAATATTTTAAATTTGTTTTAAATTTTCTATAATGAACGAGACTTGATTTCTCTGCCATTTTTTGTTTCCATTGAATCTCGTCAAATTTTTAATATTTCTCTCAGACAGATTAGTGAATTGACTTTTGTTTATCTTTATATTTCTTTCTATATCTTCAATGCTATTTAGCCATGGCCAGGTCTTAATCAGATTATTCTCTTTAACTGCAGTTAGTTTATTAAAAATAACTTTTGACCATCTGCTTGATTCCATTAAACACAACCTCTTGTAATAATTCAGTTTTAATAAACTGACTCTACTTTTCATAGTTATCCACCCCAGGTCCCCTAGAACGGCTTCATTTGCTGTGTATCGACATGCTCCTAGAATAAACTTTCCCACTGTACGTTGCATTCGTCCTAATTTTTCCATATCTGTTGAACTAAATATTAGTAACTCACAGGCATACTCTAAGGCAGGTCTAATATTGTGGTTCCACAGGGATATACCATAATCTACTCTATTTACATTGCCATGGTTACCAAGAATTGATTTCATCATAATGGGGCATAACTTGTTAAACTTTTCAGACATTTTTGTACATTGTGTATGATCTGACAAGTTACGTGTAATCCAATAACCCAAATATTTATACTCAGAAGCTTCTTTTATCTTTGAGTTACCTGTTCGATATGGACTCATAGCGATATGGGACTCATAGCGACGTATACAACGCATGTAAAATACATTGTTTACAAACATGAAATTCGAACACGCGCTGCGCGACGACCACCGCTCTTTAATCATACAATACATGTTTTGACTTGTGCGATGTGTTTGAAATGAGCCTCCATAAAGAATAATGTAACTGCTTCGGCGAACTGCGCTAATATCCGTTGTAACTATGTTAATAGTCGAACATGCATGGAACACATATAACCTAAGAACGAAGATATTGTTTTGTATTATACCTGACCACATTGTTGTGATTGGGTGAGGGCGTGTTTTTAACTATACAAGCTGTGGTTTAAATATACGATATACCATGGGTTGTCGTGTTTACATATTCCGAGCGTCGTGGTGACGTCACGTGATTGAGAACTTGGATTTATTACTCACAAGATATAGACGTGATCAATACTTGACCTGAGTAGACGCGTCATTAGGACGCGCCCCTTTTGGCCGACGTCATGGAATGGAGTCTTTGCATCAATGCGTGCTATGTATCAATGATGTCACCCGAAGTTAATACTACCTATCCTCTGTTGTCTCGAGCTTATTGTTTACGTGGTAGTAAATGTGATTGGTTAGAACTTTCTAACTTGCCAGATGGGGTGTCTGAAAATGTGAACATTGTCTAGGCATGCGCAATACATTCGAATGTTATCTGTTACAAGAATAACGGCATAATATATATTGCTTGAAAAGTTCACACATATTGACACAGACAATTGAATGTAATTGTCGTGTCATATGTGGGTGACACACTCGACTGGTGACAGGTTGCGCAATAATTGGTTTTGATTTAGTACATATATCTATCAGCGAAAATAATACCAAGCGAATAATCAAACCAAAAATTAAGAAAAATAAATACTTTTCGCATTTTCTTTAGTGCCGATCACAATCTACTTTTTGTACACCAAATTGTTTTGCGACAAGCTAAATTAAATTTGATACTAAATGTTTTTACAAACTATTGTTTGAATGACAAGTAAAAACAGGCCACAGTTCAGAAACATAATATAATAAAAATAATCGAAAATAAAACAACCAACGGAATACTCAAAATAAAAATAAATGAATAAATAATAGCAATGAGAGCAAATGTAGCAGAACAAATGAAGCAGCTGACAGTTTATTATTTCGGAAGAAGTAGTGTCAATAATAATATTTGAGTCGAGTATTGATTTGTGTATAGGGATTCGGTAAATAGCACCGTATTTATTTTCTGGTATAAGTCAATCATACTAAATATGTTTATATGCGAATAACTGGGTTGCATGTAAATAACGATCATTTTACTCAAAGGTTGTTTTTAGATTATTGACACGTTTGACATCACGTGAATTTGGCTTATAAACAAGGCAGCCCGATGAAAAGAAAAAATGAATTATTTGTAACTCTGCTTGCATTGGTAATATTACCTTTGTCATGACATCGTTCTTTACTTAACCTTTCTAATTTTATAATTATTATATATTTACGGGGTGTATATTCTGGACTATATATTTTACAGACATGACGCGGTGCAACAGGGAGGAGCCAAAGCTTCTAGCAAGCCTGCCATTCAATATCTATTTACACTACTCAGATTAATGCATATATTATGATACATTTGAAAATCTCTTTCATAACTCACGCCCTCTATAGATGTACTAGCCAGTCACATGGTAAGGTCTCACAAACCTTTAATTAACCAAACACAGGCACTTCTGACCAAGTCTTGACATTCAAAGAAGGCTATTTTTAATCATTTTCATCGATGTTTTTAAAGCTACACATGTTGTTTCTAATGCGTTCTTCTATTTAGAAACGATACTTTGATTTATTGTTCAATTTTGGCCGAAAAGAAGCAAAGATTCTCCTTAGCAGATGTATATCAATACGGTGTTGCCCTTTTTTCTTAAACAAAACTGAACATGTCAAGCCGGTGGAGGCAATATTTGAAAATACCGGAAATTATTACAGGAATACATGACTACAAATATTGCACTATATAAGGAATAATGACATGTCTGTAATATGGTACCAAGCGTTAGGTTAGACATGTCTAAATAAACAATTATACTATAATTTATATAACAGCTGGATTTAAGATAAATTGACCGTTTTCTAATACCAAGATAAATTAATCTAAAACATTCAGTCTCAAATTATGTTATTTCTGAACAATACTGGCAAATTGCGAAGACAATCACGTGACACATGATATTCAAATTCACAACATTGCTAGTAAAAAACCTAAAAGTTAAAAAAAGCAACATGTTATGATGATTACTGCTTAGAATTGAAGACATTTACTTTAAATTTACTATTTTCCAATTGAATTATTAATTTTGGTGTCTATCTAGAACTTTTACTATTAGCCAGTCACTTACCCTCATTAAATATGTGCATATCTAATTCCCAGTGATGTATTGCAGATATTCATTTTCTACCAACCGAGTGTTGCACACATGGATAATGTATAAATTAATAACTGGTCATGTAATCTAAAACGAATAAAGATGGCAATTCTAACACTTTGGGGTTTTGTAATATTGTGCATGTGAATATGCACAGAGATGTATTATAGATTCATATTTACTAAACTAAATATTGTGCACATTAATAACGATTTAACTATTAGCTTGTTATCTAAATTCACTAATTTCGTGTATATGTAGTTCCCGGGGATGTATTATAGATTAGCCATATTCACTACAAACTTGGCAACATGCACATGGACAACGTAGATGACCATGGACTATATATATGACATGACATTGTATTGACATTGTGTCATTAATCATATTAATCTTGATTTATCATGTACAGTTTCACATATAATACGTAAACAGAAAATTAATCAACTGTCCTATCGCACACCCCATGTCTTCAACCCCACACATATATAGGTATGTTTTTATGATGTGCAAGAGAAGAATTAAAAAAAAGAAACTCGTACTACCAAAGAAATTTGACAATAATTTGCGAATGAAAAACTAATTGAATACTGTATATAACTAAAAAAAAATAAACAAAAAGTTCACAGACACAATATTACAAAACGTAAAAGCGTTAGAATTACTGTCGTCATTCGTCATAATTACATACTTACATTTCTTAATTTCAGGTCTAGTGGTTTCATCTAAAAATAGCATTAATCTGACCCACTTTCTACTTGATAATTACCCGGAATATCCTATCCGTCCAGTGATGAATGAAAGTACACCGATAGTGGTGTATCATCGTATGACGCCTATACAGCTTATAGACTTGGTAAGTACATCGTGTCTTATATCCAAGCCTAGAATAATCTGTAAATGATGGGAATGGTGTTAACACTTGTTATGTTATCTACGACTGACGGAGAGCGTATGACTCGTTCGACGTTGTCACGCAGGAGCGTATGACATTTATAAATGAGGGACACTTTCATTTTGCTACAACATTGACGATTGTTATGATAATATTTAACCGTGTTGACAATTCTGCCATACTCAATAGACGTAGAATCTACTTTTATGGATCTTTTTCAACTTTCACCGGATTTTACTGCGTACTTATATTCACTTTGTTTCAATGCTTAAAGTGCCACGGTCGTCGCATCTCACGGTGTTCAATAAGGGTCCCACGCAACGCAAAAAAATGCATATCGAATTGTTTATAATAAAATAAAATTCGATTCTGGCACTTTTATATGTTATTTTATATGTTATTATGGAAATTTATAAAACAATATGATTTCCTACGAATAAATATTCACTGACGTGACCGAGACTCAAATATATACCATGGAAGTAAAAAGAAAGAGTTATTTTGACTTCTGCCGACTATTTGCCCTGAATGTAAAAATAAGTCTCACTTGCTCTTTAACGGACCAGAAATTTTTGAAATAAAATGAAAATAATACATATGTTTATAGTTAATATTTGAATATAATTTTGAAAAATCACATTGCAAGCTTTACTTATCACTAAATTCTGCGTTTTTCAAAATAATTCATTGGTATTTGCGGCCTCGACAAGCGGAAACTCAAATACTGAATCATTAAGCCATTAGTGTTCTCTAGTAGTATTCCGGAGCAAATATACCATTCAGCTAAAAATAATTATCTGCAACACATTTCGTTTTCGTCTGAACAACTTTCTTGAAAGCATAATGTGCGGTACATAACGTATGGAGCAAGTGCGTTATCATGGTACCGTCAACCCACATCGAATAGAAACGACAGTGCTGCGTTTGGCCACTATCTCGCAAAATTTTCTTGGCGTCGTCATTATCATGAAATTAAAATTATCGTGCGCGAAAAAGTGTTCATTTGAAATATACATTAAATCACAAGTTTGCTTGTTTATATTTCTGGTTTTGTCTTAACAATTTGCATACATACGTTGGACATTATGGGACTTTGATGCAAGTCAGATTTTTAAGATCGGATTTAAAATGGCTGACTGGCAGCAATTTTGTTTTAATGAAGCGCTTGTAGAGCCATATTTCTGACATGCTTTGACTGATTATGTTCAAATTTTATATATTCGTTATACATCATGTTTTAGATACATGTATATAGATGTATTCAAAATGGCCGACCGGTGGCCATTTTGTTTTAATCATTGCTGTTGCAGAGCAATATTTCTCAATATAGAGTTCTTGTTTGACGATCAGATACAAGATGTCAATCATTTAAGTGTTAAAAAATCATCATAATCAAGCATTTGGATCCATACTTCTGACATGTTTATGTTCCAACTATATTACTGTAAACAAAACTATATATGTTAAATTTGATAACTAACGGGGACTGTGTCATGCATGGCTTGTTTGAACTTATTCATTGTTTATGACAACAAAGATTGGGAGTAACATATATCTGTAAATTTGACAAATCATTTATGTTTATTTTATTTTTAATTGCTTTTATTTAGGATGAACAAAATCAGGTTATGACATTCAAGTGTTGGCTTGGACAGGTAAGAATTCAAAAACGACGTCGGTTATAGCGTAATGTAACTGACAATGAGAATTTACTTTCCAATGCGTCTAAGCAACAAATGAATGGCCTATATTTGTGTATTTTTTCTCATTATAGACGTGGACAGATGAATATTTGACATGGGATCCTGACGATTTTGGTGGTATTAAAGAAATACAGATACATATCTCTAAAATATGGCAACCGGATATGGTATTGTTTACTAGGTAAGTTGTAGTGTGGTTGAATTTTATATTAATATATAATTGTATATGTGAACGATTTGACGATTTTTGATAAATATGATACATTGATTAACCAGTTATTGTTTTATTTATTTACATGTACTAGTATCAGCGAGCTGTTCATTCGCAATTTTGATACAGACACCATTGTCTCCTACGATGGGACAGTGGTCGCATTACAATTCTCTGTCGTCCAATCAACTTGCACCATCGATGCGACCTTCTTCCCATACGACGAACAAAACTGTCAGATGAAGTTTGCCTCATGGAGTTATCACGGTGGGTACATGGATGTCCTTCCAAGTAATGAGAGTAACATTGACCGGTTCGTGGTAAACGGAGAATGGTTGCTAACACACATGAATGTAAAACGCGACACTGTTAACTACGTCTGCTGTGACGAGCCCTTCCCGGATGTGACGTATACTCTCCACTTCAAACGTCGATCCCACTCCTATGTTATGAACATAATATTCCCATCATTCCTAGCGAGTATTTTGATTTCCGTGGGCTTCTACTTACCGTCTGATTCAGGAGAAAGGGTTACCCTGTGTGTTACTAGTATTCTTACCCAGTTTGTTTACCTGACTATTGTATCCAGTTATATGCCTCCAACGGCTGAAAACATCCCTCATATAAGTAAGTATAATTTAGTTATAAGTTATTACCCATAATCCGTTGTGCTTTCAATGTAATCCTGGGTTATATGCATATAAGTGATTGGCGAGATTTAGGGATACGTTTGAAAACAAAAAAAGTTATTCTGGAATAAACCTGATGACAGCATGATTTACAATATAAGTCAATGTAAAAGTGTTTTATTTTAAGCATGTTCGATGATATATGTAATTGGATATACACCATGACATTGCATAGGATATTGTCGGTAATTCATCTAGAGAAGTGACAGTAAACATTTAGGTTGGACGTTCCAAAGTCTATATTTAAAGATGCATTGAAATTTGAAGTTTTACTTCAATTTCCATGTCATTGTACGCGCAGATTAGACTTCGAATAATATAGTGTTAAATTACATATTATTTTAACTGCCGAGGTATATGTGACTCGTATTTGTTTTCGTAACGTATGAATCATATGTTGTTTATACACAGGGAGCCCGGGAACTATAATCAACTGTAATACGCAGTCTCTATGAGCGGGGGGGGGGGGGTTATCGGCTGGTATCTAGTGTAAGAAATAGACAAGGGATGAAGGCTCCAGCCAGCTCACATTTTTTAAACTCGAAAAAACGGACGAAAAGACAACCAGTCTTGTGATTGGTTGTTGACAAATGCTGAACAGGCCACGCCTCCAACTGTG